AACCAGGAGAGCAGAGTGGTTAAAAGCAGAAACCTGGTGAAGTGAATCCCCCAGCTGGCTGTGGGACCTGGGAGACATATCTGACTTTCTGAGCCTCAGTTTCCTTATGTGTAACTTAGAGGAAATAAGAGTATCTGCCTCACAGAGCTGTGGTGAGAATTACTAGAGATGATGTACCCAAAGAACTTAGCACAGTATACAGAAAACAGTAGATAGTCAACAAACGATGTTCCCTCCTCCCCTTGCAAGCCAAAACTGGGTCATTGTGTAATTTCAGAGATGCTGGAGGAAGCAGCTAAGTCTGGGGTCTCCAGAATAGCACGGATGGGGCAGGAATTAGCTGTATCCATCTGGGGACTCCCAACCCCCAGACCTTTCCAATACCTCTCTCAAGGTTCTCAGCACACAACAGCCAGGAAATCTGCACCCACGCAGCCCAACCACAGTTCAGGTGCCCTACCACAAACCCAGAGCTACCACACAGCACAGGATGCAGACAAGAAATAGACAATGACAAAAACCAGTAGGTTTTTATCAGAATTTTCCACAGACCACTTGGGTAAAAGTTATTACCATACCATGTCATTCAGTATCTTAATTGTTGGGTTTATGGGGGTTTTTGGTTGTTATTATTTTGTTTTGTTTTCCAATTTCAAGCAGTCAGACTCAGCAGGGATTACTCATTCCAAAGAAAGTACGTTTTTCTATTTTGGTCCAATAGTGGTTTGGATTTCCTCAGAATGAGAGGCCTCTTCCGGCTTCCTTTGAAAGATGGTTCTTGTTACATATAGAGAGCCAGAAGGGATTTCGGGCCATCAGATCCCAAGGCCCTCTAGCAAGGCAGGGAGCCTCAATTCTGGTTATTCGTAACAACAAGGACTCCTTTTATGATGAAGATGCTTAGGAGCTTCCAACGGTTTTCAGATCTAGTACAGAATTGGAAACTTTGAGAGCTGGACAGGGTCAACAGTGCTGTCCTGATCAGATGGGTGGCCAACCATGAACTGCTTCCAGCAGGAAATCACTTTACAGTGTGTGAAGGATATCACTATCCTATTAGAACCTCTACAGCTCCATTGCATTTAGGATGAAATCCACCACCTTACCATGGCCTACAAGGCCCTGCATCAACCCCATCTCTGGCCATTGTCCCTCTTCTTCATACACCCAGCCACACTGACTTTGTCCCTGTTCCTTGTCAAGGCCAAGCTTGCCCTACCCTGGAGCATTTGCACTTCTTGGTCCTTCACAGGGAGGCTGCTCCCGCTTCTCTACAAATGCCTGGCTCAGTGCAAATGTCACAGGCTCAGAAAATCCTTCCCTAAGTATCTTAAACAAAGTGCTAGCCCAGTCACTCTCAATGACTTTACCCTGTTGCCTTTCCCCAAAGCAATTATCTGTAGCTGGAATTATCGGGCTCATTTCATCTACCTCTAGCATGGCAGGTCCTTGCCTATCTTGCTCGTTGCTGCATCCCAGAGTAGACCCAGCGCCTGACACATACACAGTAGGTACTCAATACACGTTTGTTGAATGAATAAATGAATTTCATATCCTTTCTTTAAAAAAATCTGAGCCTCATCCACACACTTTACAACAGACATTGTCTCTTTACAAGAGACAGTCTCTTTAAAACAGTCTCTTTACAAGGATAACGTTACTGTTATGCTTATTTTGTAGCCAAGGAAATGGACTTCAAGATGGGTGCTGATTCTCCCAGCGCCACTTACCTAGTCATTCACTGCAGCATAACAAACCACTCGAGCTAGCTTTACACCACTTTAAACCACTCCAGCAGCTTTAAACAGTGGTTCTTGTGCTGGCCCCCCCGAGCTTATTCATGTGGCTGCATTCAGCTAGTGGGTCTGCTGTGAGGGCTGTGACTGCTGGGCACCTCTCTCCATACGGTCTTTCATCCTAGATAGCTTCACAGCGTGGTGGTCTTGGGTATTGTTCTGAGAAGGGGAAAGGCAAGGCTGCCACGTCTCTTAAGGCCTAACCTCAGAAGCCACACTGCATCACTTCTACTGGGTTCTATGGGTTGGAGCAAGTCTCAAGGTCAGTCCGAAGTTCAAGGAGCAATGAAATACACTCCACCTCTCCATAGGAGGTGCTGTTCCATTGCAAAGAAGCCTGGGCTGAATTGCCAGGTTCGTTTTTGAAAATCCATCACCGCTAGTGAGTGTTGGCCTGGGTAAGCCTGTGACTCACTAAGGCAGACCAAGGGACCGTGACTATCCAGCAATATCAGATGACTCTAGAAACTACAGTGGCCTACAACATGTAATGTAAGTACCTCTCACTGACACCACATGTCCACTGGGGGCCAGCTGGGCCTCTGCGGTTCACTGTGGGACCCAGGTGATGGAGCAGCCTCTCCCTGGCACAACACCTGAATGGTCCCAGTCCTGTGGCAGACGGGAAAGGAACATGGCATGGCATGGCCCTAAAGCCTCTGCTCAGAAGAAATACACATCATTTCTACCAGCACATGAGTAGCTACACAAGTCCCAGACACATCAACCTCTTTCCGGGAGCGGCACTGAAGATGCGTGGATGGTGATTCCACCACCCTGGAGCCCGTTTTCCTCTTCAGCTCCTTTAAAAACACATTCTTTACTGAGTGGAAATGCATCTCATTCTATTTCTACCATTAGCCTCAGTGCTGCTGTCTCATCTGTTCCCTCTGCACAGAGGTCCTTCATAGAGACAAAGGTCACTGGAGCCTTCTCTACTCCAGGACGCACATCCCAGCCTTTTCAGCTCTCCCCTGCTTAAAGACCTGCCATAACCCCCTTATTGATAACTGCCATCCGAGTCCTCCAGGCCTCCCTCGATCAGGTTCCCACTGGCCTCTCCAGCCTTGTCTCCTGGTTCTGTCTGTGCTCCCCACACCTTGGCTTGCAGCTGTGCTGAACCTCATGCCTCAGTACCTTTCTCTGTGCTGTCACCTCAACCTGCACAGCCCTTCCCCTCTTCTCCAGTTTGTGAAATGTTGCTTTTCTTTTAGGATTGGCCTGTAAAGTAATCTTTTTGAAGATAATCCTCTTTTTCCTTTGTCAGGGTCAATCAACTTTTTCATTTTCTAAACCTCTTTGTTATAGCATTTTTTTCATTCACTCATTCAGTGAATATTTATTGAGTATCTACTATGTACCAGGTACTGTTCTAGGCTCTGCAGAGACACAGGGAACAACACAGATAGGGTTGCAATCCTTTCCCTGTTATATGCCGGTGAGATAAAGCAGGCAATACGCATATAAGCAAATGAGAAACAAAATAGGCCAGGCACGGTGGCTCACGCCTGTAATCCCAGCACTTTGGGAGGCTGAGGCAGGTGGATCACAAGATTAGGAATTCGAGACCAACCTGGTCAATATGGTGAAACCCCATATCTACTAAAAATACAAAAATTAGCTGGGCGTGGTGGTGAGCGCCTGTAGTCCCAGCTACTCGGGAGGCTGAGGCAGGAGAATCGCTTGAACCTGGGAAGCAGAGGTTGCAGTGAGCTGAGATCACACCACTGTACTCCAGCCTGGCAACAGAGCAAGACTCCATCTCAAAAAAAAAAAAAAAGGGAAAAAGAAAAACAAATTAATTTTAGGCAGTGATAAATATGTTAATTACAATAAAAGGGGCTGCTGTGAAAAACACTATAGGCAAGAAGGTGACTCCTTTAGATAAGTTGGTTAGGGGTGGGCTCACTGAGGAGGTGATGCTCGAGCAGCTACAGGAACAGAAGGGAGCTTTCCCGGCAGAAAAAACAACCTGTGCAAATGGCCTGTGGTATGGTCTGCTTGGCCTAGTCCAGGGAGGGGGAAGAAGCCACTGTGGTTGAGGTGTGGAGAGAGAGGTAAAGAGTGGTGAGAGATGAGATCTGAGAGGCGGCTCTAGCAAACCACGTAAGGTAAGGCCTCTTAGCAGTGACAAGGAACTTGGATTTTACCTGAACTGTATCAAGAAGTCACGGGACGTCTGGAAGAAGGGAAGTAGACAGGCACGATCTGATTTACACTTTTCAGAGATTATCTGAGCTGCTTTGTGAATGGCAGGTGAGCAAGAGAGGCGTCCAGAAGACCAGTTTGGAGGCTCTTGTCATTCCAAGATGACAATGACTTGGATGCATAGTGCAGCAATAGCCTCCCCAGAAGCTGTGAACTGAGACCTAGGGGACCATGGCCCCTCGTCCTCTGCCTCGCAGCCCCTGGCACAGGGCTGGTCCGTGGTGACAGAATGGCTTGAGGTGGTGCATCAATCAGCAGTGGCATGTGTCTGAAATGCATGCTAGCTGAACCCTCCTCGCTTTCACCATCCTTTGCCAAGCTTCCATGGAAATCCCCCTCCACACACCAGGCTCCCCAAGCAAACCGGGTCAGCCCAGCTGACCGCCTGCCTCCCCGGCACTGGGCTGCTGTCCAGGCCTGGCGAAAATCTCTCACCATCCTGCCCACCCAGGCTCCCTCCACGGAGATCTTTGCGGTTAGCACAGTGGCCTCGATATCTTGATATTCAGGAGACGGGTTTTCCCATCTGAGCCTTCGTTTTCTCATCTGGAAGGCGGGCATTATTCTCCTTACCCCAAAACCCCTTTTCCCAAAGTCCACTTCCTTACTTCTCTCTCTCTTCATCCCTTCCTTCAACCAAAACAAAGCCACTCTAGGGTTTTTGAAGTTTCCTGATTTTTTTTTTTTTTTTTGGTAATTAATAACCCCTGAACTAATTAATTTCTGCATTTGTGTTTCTAGATTTCAGATTCCAGAATTATTCAAGCTTTTCCTCAAAACTAGTTATTTCCCCCTTCTAGCCTGACTCTAGCTGGGCCCTGGGCGCCCAACGTGAGGGCTGCCACCTGACCCCCTGGGTCCAGCGCCCACCCGGGGCAGGTCTCCAGCTGTGGCCACTCAGCCAGTATCTGCGCAGGTGAACCATGGGGCTCAGGAACAGGCGGTTGTCCGGTCAAGGGCGGGCTCGCAATCAGCGGGGCGGGGAGAGGGAAAGAGCCAGGGAGAAAAGGGAGAGAAAGAGGGGGCAGTGTGTCAGAAAGGAAGAGGAAGGGGCAAGTGTCAGAGTCGGCGAGATGAGGAGGGAGGGTGAAGGAGAACGGAAAATAGAAAGTGGGTGAGACCGTGGGAGAGGGAGACTGGGGGAGAAAATGTGGGTGTGTGCGCGCTGAGAGAGAGAGAGAGAGAGAGAGAGAGAGAGAGAGACTTGGAGAGGGAAGGAAGGGAAGGAGCGTTGAGAGCAAGGAGGAGCGAGTTGGGGGCGGAGACGAGGAAGTGGGTGCGAGGCGCGGGGCGCAGGCCGTGCGCGCGCCGCCCGCTCCATCCCTGCCCGGAGCGCAGCCGGCGCGGGCGCGGGACCGAGGCGAACCGGGTGCGGAGCCAACGCCCGCGGCAGCAGCACCAGGTAACGCGGCCGCCGCCTCCCCGCGGGGCCTCGGCGCGGGGTGGGGTCCCGGGCGGGCTTGGGGACCCGTCGTGGGCTGGCGGAGCCGCCTGAGGGGCTGCTCCGGGATCCCCGGCGGCGGTCGTGGCCCCGAACCCGGGTTCGAGACCCGGCCCCACCGCTCCCTGGCTATGCCTGACCTTGGGCAGGTGCCTCCGCTTGGCCTGTGAGCCTCAGTTTCCTTCTCTGTGACCGCCGGGGTTGTGCCTTCCCCAAGGGGGCGTTGAGAGCTCAGGATGCATTCCCAGTCCGCGGCAGTGCTCGGGACGCGGTTCGGCTTTATGTCCTCTTTGCCCGCGAGGGGTGGATTTGGAAAGTCCACTTGCGCCGAAACAGTCCCCGTTTTGTCCCTGGGTCTGGGTGGTGGCATTTTCTCGCGGCGATGTGTCTGTCGGAGCATGGAGCAACTTTCTGCTAAAGGGAAGCCAGCGGAGGGCGAGGGCTGGTGGGGAGGGGGCTTCTATGTCTCAGGGAACGAGAACGACCTGCCTTCATCCCGCTGGGCTGCTGCTTGCTGCCCGACGACCGTTGACTGGAGCCACGACAGGCAGCGCTCAGCGGGTGGGAGTCCTTGCTAGGGACATCTGGACGTGGATTCGCCTGTGGGATGAGCGGAGCAAGTGGCCTCTTTTGATAGGAATCCCAGTTTGCGCATTGACCTTGAGCTTGAGAGCCTCAGTTTCCTTCTCAGGGCCATGCTAATCCCCCCACCCCGTCCATGAGGTGTTGTGAGGTGAACGAGGTGGGGCAGGAAAGTGCCTGTGTGCTGTGGTGGCCCCCAGTGGCAGCTGTCATGCCCTAGCTCAGGTGGGCCCAGTCCTGGAGGGGGTTGCCTCTTGGGAAGTCATTTCTACGTTCTAGGTCCCCTTTGTGTCCTTTGCCAGAGAGGGTCAGTTGGTGAAGCTGGGTGGTGGCCAGGCTGGACTTGAAGCAGGGCAGGGCCTAGGGAATGTGGGGGCCCAGAAGCTTCAGCCTCCACTCCACACCTATCCTGAGGCTGATGCTCCTCTAGACATGACGTCTCTCAGATGGCAGTTTTTGTCCTGTGAAGACTCCTGGCATAATCTCTCAGCACCTCAGTTTCCTTATTTATAAAAGGAAGTTATAAATTCCTCCCTACTAATGAGTTTCCTGTCCCTGGAGGTTATCCAAGGCAATTGGATAGATTACATTTTTTGACATCTCTGGGTTTGGATGGTGGCATTTTCTCCTTTTATCTGAGCTGGGATACAAGGAGAATTCAATATCATGAGAAAATAACTTATCTCGAGAACCTGCTCCTTGCAGGCCGGGTACTTGGTGCATTACAAGTATGGCATTGGTTAGAGTCACCACAGCAATCCTGGGAAACTGGTGCCATCAAATCCCAATTTACAGATGAGGAAACTGAGGTTCTCAGAGGTATTGATTGCCATGTGGTCACACCGGTAGGAAATGCCTGTGCAGAGACTGGAACCAGGTCTGCCCGCCTCCAGGGTGCTTCTGGTTGTATCGTGCTGGCCCCGAAATATGACTGTATAAGTTGTGGCATAGCACAGGGCCTGGCACATGGCACGTGCGCGATCAGCACTGGCTTCTTGTTCCATGTGTCATAGGAAGGGCTGCTACAAAGCACTGGAGAAAGTGAGCCTGAAGGCTGGCAGCAGGGTTGGGGTACTCTTTCCAAGAGATTTCTCTCAGGGTCTGGAAGGAAGGAAGGTCACTACTCAGTACTACATAAGATGCCGATGTCAGACTGACTCACCCCAGTCCACCAATTTCTTTGCTTTCTCCATCACCTTGTCCCGGTTAACCTTGTCTTTATTCATCTCAGTCTAGGCTAATTCTCCTGAGCTCACAGGCACATCCCACTCTCCATTCTAGGCTGATGATTAACTACTGACCCTCCCAGGCGACATTCCATGGGAAAAAAAAGACCAGCTGTGGTCCATCTCCGCCAACACCCCATAGTAAGGGAAACAGGATTAAGTTCCAATCCCAAAGATTTAATTCAGACTTGAGGAAGAAATCCCTGATGATGGGGAAAAGGGTGTCCCAGCAGGCTAGAGAGGTTCCTTTGCCAAAAAATGTTTTAAAGAAGAGGAGTACATCCAAATGAAAGGATGGAGATATGAACAAAGCCTCTTTCATGTGCAGAGATATTCATCAACAGTCAGAAAGTGCCTAAATGTCCAACAGTAGGGAATCAATAAAATTAGAGGACGCACATGTGACCACCAAAAGTTGAGAGATTTTAGTGAATGGAAACATGTTTTGCATCGGCATGCAGATGGCAGGGTCCCAAATATGTGGCAAGAGCTTGGAAAAAAGACTGGAAGGAAATAGGCTAAAGAGTGTTAACAGTGTTTGCCCATGGATGGTGGGGTTGTGGGAGATGTGTTCCCTGACTACTTTTTCTTGACTTTCCAAATTTTATGCAATGAGCATGTTCTTTAATAATTAGTGGACTACCTGGCTTCGAGTTCTGAGAGCAGGGAGGAGGGTGCCTGATTGAAAAACAGGTAACTTATGGTTCAGTAAGGGTGCACTGTATCTGAGGGTGCCCTGTCTCAGGCCTACAATAAAGACTGAATTGTCTCTAAAAGGGTTCAAGTAGTGTTTTCCAGGTTGAAATTTTCACCATGTTCTTGTCTTCTATCTTGTCCCCTCCAATTCTGATACATCCTTTATCCTACTGTCAATTTGGTAATACAGAGCTGAGGCTACTGCTCCCCTGCTCAGAAATATTCCAAGACTCCTCATTACCAAATGGATCAAGACCAAAGTCCTCAGACTGGCATACATGGCTCATGATGGTCTAGTCTCTGGCCAGCCTTCTCGCCTCCAGCTACCCCACCCACCCACCCTCTGCTGGTCCACCTACAACAATCCACATCCAGCTGGCAGAATGAACTGTGTTCTTGCCCACCTCCAAACTTCCCAGTTGGAATTTCTCTTGCCTGCAATGCCCTCCTTTGCTTAGCAACCCCATCCTACTCTTCCTGCAAGATTCCATTCAAACCAGATCTTTTAGGACCCCACAGTTTACAGGTATGCTCCTCCCCCAGGACTCCTTAAAGATGGGGACGATGTAAACTGTCTTCTCCTTGCCAGCACCCAGGATGCAGCTGGCACATGAAGGCTTATCAGTAATAGGGGCAATTATGTCGAGGCCTGGCAGGCCCCTTAGAAGAAATACAAAATTATTGATATCAATAATATCTGTTATTTGTTGTATTCTTACTATGTTCTCATGACAACCCTATGGGTCTCACTTTCAGACTGGAAACTAAGAGTAACATGCGTTCGGCCACTTGCCCAATGTCTAACAGAATTCGAACACTGGCCATCTAAATCCACAGCCTACACTCCTAATCAGGGTCAGGAAGGGTTGACAGATTCAATCAACCAACATTTAAGCAGGGATCACAGAGATGCTGTAAAAAGCAATGCATCCCTGCACTGTAGAGGTGAAGAAATGGCACAACAATGACCTCCAAAGTGTAAGGGTTTGTGCTAGATACTGGGAACCCAGGCATATATAAGATGTCATTGCAGGCTGGACACAGTGGCTCACACCTGTAATCCCAGCACTTTGGGAGGTCAAGGCAGGAAGATCACAAATTCAGGAGTTCAAGACCAGCCTGGCTAACATGGTGAAACCCCGTCTGTAATAAAAATACACAAAAATTAGCCGGGCGTGGTGGCAGGTGCTTGCAGTCCCAGTCCCAGCTACTTGGGTGGCTGAGGCAGGAGAATCGCTTGAACTTGGGAGGCAGAGGTTGCAGTGAGCCAAGATTGTGCCACTGTACTCCAGTCTGGGCGACAGAGTGAGACTCTGTCTCAAAACAAAACAAAACAAAACAAAACAAAACAAAAAAAACAAAAAAAAGCCATTGCTACACGGAGCTTACAGACAGTGGGGTGTGGGGAGAGTGGTGTGTAAGCAGGGTCCTCAGGGCTTTGACAGGGGTGTTTAGGAAACTGTGAGGCCTCAGGGGATGCAGGTGAAGGCTGCCCAGAGGGGATGATATTTGAAATAGATCGGGAAGAATAAGTAGGAATTCACCAGGTGAGCCACGGAGGTTGCAACGATGGTTCTCAACTGGGGACGTTTTTGCCCCTTGGAAGACATTTGTCAACGTCTGGAGCTATTTTTGATTGTCACAACTTGGGGAGGGGGAGTGCTGGCGTCTAGTGGGTAGATGCCAGAGATGCTGCTAAACTTCCCACAATACACCGGACAGCCCTCATCACCAAAAATTATCCTGTCCCAAATGTCAATAGTGCGGAGGTTGAGAAAGCCTGGGTTGGAAGAGAAGAGCATTCCTGACCAGGGATCAGCTGGTTCAGGTACCCACAGGTGTTTACCAAGTGCCTTCAAAGCACCGGTCCTTTGAGCCTGAGGTTGCTCTATTGGTCACCTGGCCTCCCTTCTTCCCTTCTGCCCCCACTGACCTCAAGCAACAAGGGTGGTCTTTTTAAACATAAGAGCGTTATAGAGATATAATTCATATGCTATAAAAGTCACCAATTCAAGTGACAAGTGCATAATTTTTAGGATATTCACACAGAGTTGTGCAGCCGTCACCACTACCTGATTTCAGACCACGTTCGCTATCTCCAAAAGAAACCTGTCCTCATTAGCAGTCACCCTCTATCCACTCCCCACTCCCACTCAAGGCTCAGCAGCCACAGGTCTACTTGCCCTCTCTCTAGATTTGCCTATTCTGGACATTTCACAAAAATTGAATCACACAATAGGTTTTGTGACCGATTTCTTACACCTGGCATGTTTTTACGGTTCATCCATGTTGTTGCATGTGTCAGCACTTCATGCCTTGTTATGGCTAAATAATGTTCCACGGTATGGATAGACCACATTTTCTTCATTCACCAGTTGATGGGCATTTGGGTTGTTTCTGCTTTTGGGCTACAATGAATAACGTTGCTGTGAACATTTGCATATAGGCTTTTGGGGA